GACTAAATACTTTTTTGCCCCACTATATGCTATCAGCAACACACAGAGTTAACTCAATTATACAAACATGGGTTAATGATTAGAGGTAACTGAGTTATTTATTTTGTTAAAGTTTCAGCTATTCTGTCATCACATTATTTAATACGATTTGTTAAAAACATTGTTGTTTCTTTTGATGTGAAATATTATGTATTTAATTTAAATAAAAAGCAATGTTAGTTTTGTTTAGGGGTGCAACAACTAATCGACTTAATCGATTAAAATCGATTACCAAATTAGTTGCCAACTAATTCAGTCGTCGATTCGTTGGTGACGTCATCACGTGTGTTTTACGCGCCGTTAAGCTCCAACGTTATTGGTCTTTTTATCGGTACTGGAGACATTTCAAAAATATATGTCATGTATTATTGCTACAAAAACATTATATCGCAGTCTTAGTGTCGCCAACTCGTTTCTAATATGCAAAAAGACAAACAAATGCGTCTATGATGTATTTTCGATCAGACGAGATCTCTCTCCCCGTCTGTGTGCGAGGGGGCGGGGCAGTTTACACACACGCAGCTGCTACATGCAGCAACACACGGAGGAGATGGCGGAGAGAACGCACTCCGAGTCTGAGGTGTGGTTACACTTTACCCGTCTCGATGTGGAGAATGCTCGTTACCAAAAGTGGAATAAGCGTTTAGTATGTAAGGGCGGTAACACGAGCAATTTGTCTAAACATTTAGCAAAAGTGCACCACATTCAGGCGGAGAAATGCACCGGGTTCGACTGTGTTCTAGCAGCTCTGTAGCCCCATCCACGAGCAACATTTCCACGTCAGGTGTTATGTATGCTAGCAGCAACACACCGAGTTAACTACATTATACAAACATGGGTTAATGATTAGAGGTACTGTAACAGAACTCTTTATTTTGTTAAAGTTTCAGCTATTCTGTTTAGAGTTCTGTTATCACATTATTTAATACGATTTGTTAAAACACTGTTGTTTCTTTTGATGTGAAATATTATTTATTTAATTTAAATAAAAAGCAATGTTAATTTTGTTCAAAATGTGTTTAGTTAATTTAATAATATGTATTTTTGAATCAAGTATTCATCTTTATTGTCTTCATTGTTAGTTTCCACATGCCTAAAACAACCTCAAGCTAAATCTAAAAGTTGATGGCTAAATAAGAGCGCTTGAGAAATTGTGCAAGGCGTAATAGTCCGAATAGTCGATTAATCGTTTCATTAATCGATTATCAAATTAGTCGTTTGTTGCAGCCCTACAGTAGTTTTGTTCACAATTTGTTTAGTTAGTTTACCTTATTTTTTCTCTCCAAAAGAACCAATAAGAGTACCGTTAAAAGACCGGATCGATAAGCGGTATCGATAAAAGTAGTAGTACCGTTAAAACCTTAACGATACCCATCCCTATGTGCGACTGTCAGTCCGATATTGTAAAAATAAAATAAAAAATGTTTTACATTTTTATTCGACATTTTATATAATTTTCCGGCCTAAATATGATTGCTGGCGGGCCACCAATGGCCCGCGGGCCGCCTATTGCCGACCCATGCCCTACAGTACATGTACCTACTGAGGATTCAATTTTTTCTGAAGACACAAGTTACTGTCTGAAAGAAATAGGTGCAACAATGGATTTAAAATGATTTTATTGGAGGGCAATTTATGTGACTGCTATACTATGCTATTGTTTGATATTTACCAAAGTGTTTGCATAGTTATACAAGATGGATCCAAGGTGATGCTTAATGGTAGGTCTTACTAGAATATTGCGCTTGTGGATGGTTGGTGGTTGCTAGGGTTGTTACTTGGTGATTGCTGAGGGACGCAGTGAGGTAGTTGGTTTTGCAACATGATATATATATAATACTAAAAAGATGGTTTATAGTCAGTGGTACACATCACTTTTTTGCCCTGGTTCTCAAAGGAGCACCTGGAGATGTTGCTCTTGGTGCTCATCCTTAAAATGAAATAAACCGTAACTTTTGAGGGGCCCTTTATTTGCCAGACACACGGCACTGAACACACATGCAGAGGTGAACACAGAACACACAACACACATGCAGAGGTGAACACAAGACAACTTTAGCACGACCAGTAATCCTACAAGCTGTCATCACTACCCTCCTGACTGATCTCCTCACGGCCCCTATACACGGCGGCGTGCGTTGACGCTTCAACGCTTCTGCCCATTCACTTTTAATGGGGTGACGTCACGCTTCGCCGAACTGCATTGTGGGAGCAAAGCGTAGCTTTTCTCGCGGTGCTCGCTGCAAAAGTAGAGCAATGTTCTACTTTTGAAGCTTCGACGGAAGCGTCAGCCAATCGAATCATATGCCAGTACAAGCTCTAGCCAATCAAACCGCTGCTTGTGTGTCCGGGGCGGGAGATTCAGGTGATTGGTTGTTGGTCTAGCTTCAGACATGCCCGCCGGCAAGCGACAACGCACGCCGCCGTGTGTAGGGGCCGTCACTGTCTTCCTCTCTGTCAGACATGGTAGCTCATGATGTAGGCCTACTACTTTCTCTCTGGTTGAGTCTGCGATTAGCTGCTTGCACCCACAAGTCAACAGCTGGGTTTGGGTCGAAAGTCTCTGTTGTCATCTTAGACAAGTAGATGTAATCAAATAAGTATGTGAACATAACCAATAACCTACCATAGCCAATAACAATTGAATGTAACTTATTTTATTTTTGTTGTTCATTCATATCTTATTTTACCTAGTATTTATTTATTTATGCATTTTTTTATCTCCAGTTTTAAAGGATATTTTTGGTTACTGTCCTAAGTGTCCTATACTGTAGTATACATTGAAATGATTTCAAACCTGTTTTATCCCAATAATTATAAAGGAGTGCCTTGGAAATATGTGTTTATATAAATTGTGACCAAACCTTAGACTAAAGTGAACTATCTAAACACTCAGTCCTTTACCTCACTGAGCTGTAGTTATCAGCCTCTCAGTCTGACTGGAGAGGACTCTCCCTCCACATTATTGTAGAAACATCTTCTTCTTATATCCGTTAGAGCAGCTAGCACCAGATTCTAATAACAGCGCCGGTACCGGTGCTCTCTCCCTCGCTCACTCGCACTTTGGCTGTGAGCTGCGGGCGCCAGATAAGCCAACATCCCCCATTTTCATCACTTACAGCGCCCATCGTACAGGACAAATGAAACGTGTAACCGGGGTGAAAAGGGTGTTACATTTACTTAATTATGAATATTGGCCGAAATTAGGATGAGCCCCAACGGTCACATTTTTTCCCTCCCAGAGCTGCCAGCGCAGCGCCTCCCCAGATCTGGCGCCCTAGGCAAACATCTATAACGCCAGTGCTACGGGCCGGCCCTGAGTTCATATGCAACTCGCAAATATCTCTCTCTCTCTCTTGACCCGGTGCTCTGTTTATAGTGTATTTGTGAATGACTGCTAGGTTGTAACCATAGTCTGTGTAAAATAGGTGAACTGGCCTCTATTCATTTGTGCACTATTATTTTAAAGCGTCATAGCGGCAAGACAGACTATAAACAATCGTGCATGCATGAGGATAAACGGGGCGCCATTAAACTGTACATACATGCAGCAAAGGACTTAGCCTTTGTACATCGGCAACACAATCCAGCTGATTACCCCTAAACAAATTAAAACATTTTGATTTAGTGCCGCAAACACATTGACACTTTTTGTTGAATGTTAAAGGTGTCTCGACACCGGCAAAACATGCTACCTGCCAAACTAATGACATGCTTACAAGCCCCAGCTAAACTTTGTGACATTATGCCTCCCAAACAACAGCTTGTTAACAATGTCACAGCATTAAGGTTACAACACCGCTGTGGTGCCACTGTGCAGAGCAGCTAGCGTGTTTCCCCTCAGGAATATTAACTGTAGTGAGAGAGATCCACAATCACGGTTTTTTTGTTACTACAAATCTGAAGTGCCTTGATATGAGGAAGCTTACTGTTAAGATGCAGCTTAATAATTCCAACATACTAGTTTCTGTAAATGCACAATATGCAAAGATAGTCAATTCATTAAGTAATTAGTTGTTTTGCATTTATATTGAGATTATTCAGTAATGAATAGCCTTGATGAGAAATGCTTAAAATGTGACTCTTGAGGTTTGGTGTTGGGCCAGGTTAACATTACTCATAGAAATAATTAAATGATGTGTTGCTGTGGGGCACTCGTATGAAGTGGATATATATAAAAATAGTACAGTAAAATTGTTGTCACAGAGAGGCAGCTTTTGGTTGAAAGTGGAACGACTTAAAGCTGGTTAGAGGCAGGTACTCTGCATTCCAGATAAGCTGCTGGTTGCTAGGCTGAGGAGGGAAAAGGCTAGGGAGTAGCAAATGAGATTCAGCGGATAATGCTTCCATATTTACCAGCATGTCTACCTTCATTTGGAAACCTAAGTGAAAGGGAGTGGCAGAAGACGGAGGATGGATGACGTTCGTTGCACGAAACCTTCCTATTTTTTCTTGCGTATGTGCAAATGCTAGTAAAATGAAAATGCAAATATGTGCACATGCGCACATACAGTGTGCACCCATGGCATAATTTGCTGTTCCTTGGGATATCCTCTCAAGCGGAGAATGGAGTGTGGGTTACTCAATAACTAATGGGTGCTTTTAGTGCAGTCTGCTGCATTGACAAATGCACCCTCAAAGATTCATGTGCCTCTGCTCCCAAGCGCATGCATGCATACATCATTTTTGTACAGTGTTACTGAAGCTTACCATAGCTCTCCTCATACCTCCTTGTTTTCCTTCTACCCATTGTGTGAACACACACACACACACACACACACACACACACACACACACACACACACACACACACACACACACACACACACACACACACACACACACACACACACACACACACACACACACGCTCTGCTCCAAAGGATCAGTAGCTTATAAACTGGCTGCAGTCAGCAGTCAGTCTCTCTGGAGGGGGAGGAAGAAAGGATAAATTGCTTCGACTAGATGGAACGGAACTCAACACTGATTCGCTGCTGGGGTTTTTAATGGGTAACCATCCCATATTCCCTATTGGCTTCTATCAGATTGGGATGTTTTGGACTGGAGGAGACTGAATTAGTTCAGCTAAACACTTGCTGAGCTGTATTCCACTGGACTGTGTTGAGTTTGCATGCAGGCCTGGGGAGGCAGAGCTGGAATAGACGGAATTCCCTTTTTTTTGTTGCATCCCGCCCTCCTTCTTCAATCCTCCCCTCATGTTCTCTCTAGCACTTCCACAGCACACATCCAGTGTTGCAGAGCAGGCAAAGGCAGCCATCCTCAGTGCTTCTGTTCATCTGCTGGCTCCTTAAACGACGGAGAAGAAGAAAGGGAATACGGATTTGTCTTCTCTTTTATATTCCCTGCATTTCTACCGAAGGATCTGCTGGTGTGAGGAATTACCATCAGATCTTTTTTCAGTTTATCATCCAGAGGATTTTTGGATGTGTCTTTTTTTCCTATTTTATCATTTTTCCTACATTTTGAGGAAATTGTTGGACAGGAGAAGCATTTATTAGCGCCTGCATTTCTTTATTTCTCGTATATCTTGGCTGCCTTTACTGTCCATTCCTCTGGCTGGTGCTGCTGGTGCTGGTGGTGCTGGTGGTGCTGGTGGTGGTGAAGCCGGGGCAGGCATGGCCCAGGAGGCAGGCATGGGGGTGACCCTCCAGGACACCCTGGCAGTGCCCCCCATGCCCAAGCACTCCGGCCTGAATGAAGACCTGGTGAAAATTCTGCGGGAAAACCTGCTGCAGCCGGAGAGGCCAAGAGGACAACGGCGATCACCGTCTTCCATCTCCCCCCGCCTCTCCCCCCGCAACTCGCCACGACTGCTTCGCCGCATGCTGCTCAACAACAACACCCACAAACAGAGGCGCTTCACTGTCGCACACACATGGTGAGACTTAGATGGACAGAGAGAGTAGACGATTGATGGCTATTGTCACTGTGCTGTTGGATGTGGAGCTGCATGCAAAGTGCATATTCATGTTTGTCTTTGTCAGACATGTGTTTTAAACCGCACCCTGGCGAACTTTCAAGGTCGGGACTGTGTTTGCTGAACCATGTTTGTGAGGGAGGTGGCCGTGTGCTAAGCCGTTTCAGTAATTCAACTTTCTTTGCGGTTTAACTTTAATGCGTTCCTCTCACAGAGAAATGACAGGAGTGTGCATGAGCAAATCATTCGTAGGTTATTCACGTCCCATTTCCGAGGAGACCCTCTTCTCACCTTAGATAATGAGTTTCTCTCTCTTCCTCTCTGTCCAGCTTAATCTCTGTTTTTATGTCTCCCCTTGTGTGTCCAATCCTCACACCTCTCACTCCACATATCCCCCCTGCCCCCACCCCCCCTTTTCCCTTGCCGACTCTGCCTTTATCTCTATGTGATAAACAGTAGTGTAGTGTAGTGTGTGAAGCTGCCTGTGTTGTTAAATAGGTAGAATAGGAAGCCATCCATCACTACATTTCTTCCCTCCAGCTGTGCTTCTCTCTCCACACCTGCCTGCCTGCAGTTTTTGACTATTAATTAGTCTTATATTCCTGGCTGTCTATCAGCCTCTGCTGCACCCGCCCACGCCTCACCCCCTCCTTTCGTCTCATACCTCTTCCCCATTCACTCCCCGTCTCCCCCTGCACCCATTGTTTCCTCCCCACACTCATTTTTTTCTCCCTTTTTAAAATGTCAGTTGTTACCCTCCACCTCCTTCCATTTGCCCTAACCACCCATGATCTCTCATTTCTTATGATTTATATATCTTTCTCTTCCATCTCTATTTTTCACAAGACCCCCCACTATTATTCTGTATGTCTTGTGTCCCACTTCTTTTAGCCCACATCTCTCCAAGTAGCCCTGCCTTCTGGCATCTGGATCTGTTTTATGATGTAACCCAAACATTCTGTTACTGTCCTCGCACATACATTCACATATCAGAAATACTTTTCATTTCTCTTCTTTATTCACCCTTCTGCTTTTACCTCAAGGTCTGTTTTATCTCAATTTTTTGATCTTAGACAGGTGCTTTGAGTTCCCTTTTATATTCTCCATTTACTCTTCTGTCTCAACCGCCCATTTTCCTTTTTTCTAGCATCCATCTTTCCTTGACTTTTTCATATTAACACATACATATTGTATCATCTCTCCTCCCTGCTTCTCTCCCCTGTTTGCTTCTTATAACTGAGGGTGCTATTAACGTAGGGAGATACGCAGCATCTCATGGTTTGGCTAATTTAGAGGCACAGTTCTTCTTGTGTGTGTGTTTTAAATGTTTGAATTAATTATCTGTGTGCACAATTATACCGTGTGTGTCTGTGTGTGTTTGTAGGTGCAAATGTGATGATTTATATGGGCTTGTTAATTCATCTTATGTAATTTCACACACCACCACCATTGTTCTCCCATGTGCCCCTTTAAGCAGAAAGCTATTTCTCGCAGTTCCACATCGAGGAGCAAATACACTTGAGTACTTGGAATGGATTTTCCCTGTTCTGATATGATGCTTCAAGTTGTTTAAATATCTGCAATGATGAAGACAGCAGGGGTGAAAAGAGCAAGTGGCACTTGTTGCATGACGTTTGCATTTATTATAGATAAGAGAAAAGACCAAATGTTGCCTTTCATCATTTTGATGACATGTTGCTCAGCGTATTCTGTCATGATGTAACGCAGTACACACATGGAGGGAACCTTCTGGCCCTTTTTAAAATGTGTCTCTACTGAACCAATGATTAAGTGTCAACGATTCACACCTGCTCATGCTTTGAGATGCTTTCAAGCACGATGTTTGTAATAGCCGGTTGTCTCAAGGTTTCCAATAATCTTCTGTTGTAAGTACCGTACTCTGACTGAGGAGTTTTCCCTATCCCTCCATGCACCCATGCTGTAAACGTCAAGGTTTCCAGATGGCTGTGACCTAATCAGAAAACTAATGTTATGAATCTGAAATCACAGAGCTATGCCAGAATAATAATTGGAAAAGAAAAAGATGCTCTTGTCTGTCATTGAGAATCGTGTGTTAAGCATTGCTGTACATAGATTACTTTAATGAAACACATTCATAAGATCAATGCTGGCATTTGTTTACTCTTTTGATTGTTATGAAAGATGGAAAGATACTGGAGCAAGACTTTATTCTGTGATCAAGAATGGTCTGTGAAGACAAAGCCTGATAGAGATGATGTCCCCAGGCCAAAGAATGCTACTGCAGACCAATACATATTTAACACACATTAAATGGCAATACTCAAACTGTATCAGTAAGCATGTTCAGCAGCATCCTGTAAGAGGTCTACTTTAAGAGATTGATAGTGAAGTAGCAAATATTACCAGCTAGTCTTTAAAAAAAGGTTTTTATTAGTTTTGGGACATATAGCGATTGTGCATTAGAATGTTGCTTTACAGAATAAAATGATAGGAATATTTCATTACAATAAGATTAGGGCACTCTTTGAAATGTAGTCTTATGTTTGTTTTCATTGCTATCCCTCATTGTGGTGTTTATCCTTGACTGCAACATTTGAACAAAAGCCTTTTCTGGTTTCCACTCACACATTTGTCGCAGTCAGTATTTGATGCTGTGTAGCCTTCACTCGAGCCTGCTGCAGAAAGCATCTCCGTACAACAAATAGAAAAGAGTAACGTGTTGTTTCTGCATGTCTATGTGGATCGGAAAGTTGCATGTATATTTTGTTAGACACTGCCATTTGCATTATGACTGTTGACAGCAGAGTGACCATTAATCACTGAGTAACTAGTGGGTCGTGTACCTGTGTTGGCTCTTGACATTCGAAAAACTGGCAGACAGCGAGAGTGGGGAAGGTTAGGAGGAAGTCTGCTGTGTGTGCAAGGGCACTGGAGAGACTATTTGTTTACGAGAGAGAGAGATAGCATCAAATGGCTGTAAGCAGGAGGGAGGTTGACAACTGCAGTGCAATTTACTCTAATCATGTCCTCATTGTTTTACAGCTGCAGGGAATCACAGGGCCACTGTGCAGTGAATCTGGTGACATACATGGCCCTCAGCGGCTCCACTCCACACTTCATTAACAAGATAATCCTTCTCTATGGACAGATTGGCCTGATGTACTGTTCGCTGTCCTTATCAGCACAGCACCGTTAAAACCATACACAAATTGTTTAACAATTACTTGGAGAATACTTTAAAGAATGCATCCCATATGCTGTTTACTAAGTAATAAAGGATGTACATTTGGGGATTAATGTAATGTAATGATTTGTTTTAACCCTAAACAGTCCCAATTGTTGATGTGATAATGGAATTTTGAAAGCTTAACATATTTGAGCATTGCTGGGAGGATTTCAAGTGTGGTATTACCATTATTTATACTAACAAAGCTGCACAGCACGACCTCCAACAGCAGCTTTAGTTTGGTTTTCTGTTTGGAATTCAAGTCAGTGTCTGTAAATCAGGTGTGTTTACAACATGCATAACACTGTGTAGGATCAAGCTCTTTCTGGCAAAAAGCTGAACCACGTTAGCGCTGCAAGAGTTGGAAATGTGAAATCATCAATCTGACAGGGACAGAAGTTGATACGTACACATTGGTTCTCTGCCAGAGACACTGCAGTCGATAACACTTTCTTTTATATTTGATGTTTGTGACATTATATTTGTATAATCAACTGTCTTTCCGATGTAGTGACACATCACTAGCATCAGCCCCCTCTCTGCCATCCTTACATGTTTGTTCCTGTGAAACAGTATTCACGATGTTAATTGTTTTCAAGCGTCATGCTGTCTTAATGCTTCATAATAACTGTGTGTTGAGAGACCCTGATGGACATGAATAAATGCCCCTGCATGTGCGCACATCATTTAAAATCTCTTAGAAATATGATAATGGCTTGCTCTCAGCCTCACAAAGGCACGACACATAAAGCAGGAGTGAGAAGTCTGTGCGGTCACCTTCAAGTGACCGACGATACTCACGACTCAGTTATTGTATTATCTCCACCAGAATAACTCTGTTGTTTTCCACTTTCTTTCTCACTGACCCCGAGGTATTTTTGATTCTGTTGCACAACAGCAACTGATGCTGCATTGTAACATCAAGTGTCTCTTTATGTAACATAAGAGGGGGCTCTCAGCGAGGGGAATACAGGTGGTTCTGACTGACAGTGCTTATGCCAGTCCTTCTCTGGCTGAGTGATCTGACTGAGGACATTTGGTGGGGACGTCTGGAGGCTGGGGGATATGATGGATGGATGGATAGCTGGGTGAAAGGTTTATGATACATGAGGGAATGCATGCAGGCATGGTGGAATGGATGGAGGAAAGGAGGAAGGGAAGAAGGAAGGGAAGAAGAGTGTGGGAGTAAGCTGAACACAGAGAGGTGCTAATCCAGGCAGAGGATGACTCTCTGCTTCTCTCTGGGTTTATATCATCTCCCTCTCCCTCTTGTATTTCTTTCTTCAAGGCAGCAAATTACGTTTTTTCATTAATTGTTCGTCATTATATTTGGAAATGTTTTCAGGTACGCTCTTAGTGCATCTGACTCATCATCTGATTTATTAGACGGGTTTAGAATCCAACAAAATGTGCATTTCTCAAACAAATCTTAGTTTGATGGTGATTTGAAGAGGCCTCTGCTCCTGGCCAAGAACAAATCTGGTACATCGTCTCTTATCTAAACTGTTCCTTGTCACACATTGGTGTTTTGTATAGATTAACCAAACAAGATATAACATGCTAATTTGTGACAGATTCTTACACGCTAGTTGTTGGTTGTACACAAATATTACATTAAGCACATTTCCCAAAACTATTCCACTACCTAAAGTTGTTAAATAAATGTGGTAGGATTATTATTTGGCTGGATGTTCCTAATTCCTAATTTACCACACATTTTTGGCTACATATTATTTATAGATCTATCTTTTAG